GTGCCAGGTTTGTGTCCTGAAGTTTCTCTGCACACGCCAGGCATGCATGCAGCCTGTGATTTGGACTGGCAAAACTAGGGGTGGATTGTGGTGTGAGGACCCTGTTGGAGGGGCTTCTCTCTCTTTCTCTCTCTCTCATCTTTGTTAGTGTCTGTCATGGAAGATTTAGATAATCCTAATGATAATAATAAAAAAAAACTATAACAGAAAGCATACCTGTATCTATAGTGGAGATAATATGAAAAATATCATTGTGTTGTACTTAATAGAATATAATCAAGGGACCAGCCCATGAACAGGTGGATAAGGTGGCTCGATTCCATACAACCAAGACCATATGGTTTAAGTCCCAGTGTTACCCCAAGTCCTGAAAGGAGGGAGAAATAGAGAAGAAGGGACTGACCATTTTCCATGGACATGGTGCTCTCTCACTTTCTCCCTTTCTCTCTCTCTCTTTTCTCTCTCTCTGTCTCTTTCTGGTGAGTGCATGCACTCTCTGGAAAATTAAAAAAGAAAAAAAGGATATAATATCAAGCACTATGTACTAGGAATATGTAGTCTACAAATAGCACTGCTCCCATCCTCATGAGATACTCTGTTTAGTTAGGGAGATAGCTATTTATCCAATAATCACAACTAAAAATATAAGTATAAGGCCAGCCAGTGGCATGGTGGTTAAGGTGACTGGATTCCACCTGGCCAACTGTGTGGGTTGAGTTTTGGGCCCAGCACCTTGAAAAACATGTGGTGCTGGGTGCCTGTGTGCCCAAAATCCCAAGAGGAGGATGGAGAAGAAGGATTACAATGTGGCTAACCCCCTCGGGGCTGGTTTTTCACCCTCTCTTTTTTTCTTTCCCTCTGCCTCTGTCCAGGGAGTGTATATTCCCTGTAACAAACAAACAAACAACAAAAAAGTAAGCACAAAGTATGATAAATACTATGAGGAAAAAAAGAGCATTCTATGAGAGCATATGATGAGGATCTTGTTTAGATGTAAGGGCCAGGGATGGCTTCTCTGACCATGTGGCATTTAAAGAATTTTAGGTGGTTTTAGCTAACATTGGCAGGCACCTGGGTTAAGAATGTGGGAAAGGGCACTTCAGAAAGAGGGGACAGCACCTTAAAAGGTCTTGAGGTAGCAATGGAGAAGTCAAAGAAGCCCCCAGATTATTCAGTGAGTAAGAGGAAGAGTAACTTAACTTGGAACTAAAGCGCTGTGCTTGGGATAAAGTATATGGGGCCTTGCAGCATATTTGGAAATTCAACTTTAATCTAAAGGACAATGAGAAAATTACTGTAGGGCCTGTGGTAGGGTCATCATTTGGAATAGCAGTGGCCATGGAGATAGTGAACATTTTAAATACACGTTGGCAAAAAGAACTGATAGGCCTAGATGAGAGGTTGGATATGAGTGTGGAGGTGAAGAGCATGGGAGATGTCAAGCCCAATGCCCAGATCGCTCTAGTGAGCAGTTGAGTAAATGAGAGTCCCATGTCCTGCGACGGGGAGCAGCAGAAGAATTTATGCCTATGAAAATTGTATTTTTCAAACATGGTGTTTGCCAGCATCTTTTTTTCTTATCCTACCCATGAGATGATTCCTTGATTTGTTGAAAATATTTTTTTTAGAGACAAAAGTATAAATGTTAATTGAACTATAATACTTTTTCCAAAAATCCAACTGTTCTAGTAAGCTGAGTTCTTCAAGTACAGGGATTCTGTTCTATTCATTCTCTGTGTTTTTCATAGTTTCTGGCTCGTGTCACATTCTCAATATTTATTGAGTGAATTAATAAATACCACTGTAAAACACTTCCACACTGAAGTATAAGCATGTGAATAATCATATGATTAAAGGTTAGCAATTATGATGTAGTCTAAATGCTTCAAGGTACTCTGTGCTATAGGCAAGTGATTTAGACTATTTACTAACTCATTATGTTCTAATTATTTTAAAGTTATAATTATTTCAACCATTATTTCCTTAAAGTAGATTAGTAATGGAATCTTCAGAGTTTAAGAAATGACTATGAAAATGAATGTGTTCCAACTTTTATGAGACAATTTCTCTTAGCCCAGGCCAAAATTTAAATGAGGGGCTAAGGTCTCAAACCTCTATTTTGTATTTCATGGGATATATTACTTTCAAAAGAGGATTGAATAAATATTTTATATATGAAAAAATAGCATAAAATTAAATCTTAATTTCCTTATTTGTGAAAGGATGCCTACCTTGCTTTCAATATTTGTGATAGTTTTGAGACTGTAAATTCCCCTTTTAAAGTATCTAAGATAAAGTGAAATACATGCAGATGTATTACACATCGGTATGCAGATAAAGGCATCAATAATTTCTGATTATTAGAAGAGGAGAAAAAGATTTAAATTAATTGAGGGCCTGTTATTTGCCAAAATTTGATATCCATAAACCCTCAAAATACTGATTTGCATTAAATGATCTTGCCTTCATTTTGCAGAAGATGGAAAAGCAGAAGTTAATGAAGTTGGCCACAATTATGCTCACTTCCATTTCTCACTAAAGCCGGAGTTCTTATTCCCTGTCCGGGCTCTAGTTCTCTATAATGGAGACAGCAATTGAGAGGCTGTAGAGCATGGGGACTACACCACCTGTGCCTCCATTACCTCATCTGTAAAATAGGAACAATCCTAAAACTAGAACTACCTAATAGGGCTTTTGTGAAGATTAAATGAGTTAAAACAGCACCAGGCTGTCATATGAGTATTCGATCATTTTTTGCCCCCAGGACTAGCATGACTTAATATGAATGAAATCAGTGAGGTTCCTATGAATAAGAGCAAAATGAAATAGACTTTAACTAAAGCTCCCAAGATTCAGACATATATACTTATGGCAACAAAGGTCAAGCCACAATGTTCTTCCCTCAGAGAGAGCTTTACTTATCCCTCAGACCAAGTTGGATTGCATAACGGACACTTCAGTAACCCCCAGAGGGACTAAGCATGCAAGTCAATAGGGGCGGGGTAGACCTTTCCAATCGCTGGGACTTGCATGCGCAAGTGGCCTGAGGTGGTAAAGAACACGGTATGGAAATATATGAAACCAAGTTTGTGGAATGTGTAGAAACTTTTAGCATTTTGAGAATATTGGACTTTATCTTAAGAGTAAAGGGAAGGTACAAAAGGGTTTTAAGCAAAGAAATGATACACAATGTTTTGCTTTAAAGATCATTCTGGCTAGAATGAATGGGGGACAATGTTTAGGGAAGGCAAGAAAGCATTGAAGAACATCGAGTAGGGGACCAACAGATGGCGCAATGGTTTCATAGTTGGACTCCCATGTGGTCAACCATGGTTCAAGTCCCGGACCCAGAGGTTTAAAACTCACACTAGGTGTATGTGCATGCATGCCCAAAATCCCAAGAAAAGAATGGAGAAGGAATTGTGGCATGGCCATTCCCCCAGGGGATGATTTCTCACTTTCTGTCTCTCTGTCTCTCTGGCGAGCACATGTGCCCTATAAAAAATATCTCTTTGAAAAAAAAAAAAGGATCAGTTAGGAGATTGTTATAGTAGACAAGGGTATAAGAAATAATGGTAGCTTGGACAAGAGTGTTGGTGGAAGAAATGCAAAGAGGTAAACTAATTTGAGAAATAATTTGATTTGTTGTAAGATCAACCAGCCTTAAATATGGTAGGTAATAAAGAAACATTTAGACCGCAAGTTCTTATGCTTCTCACTTGAATAACTGGATAAATGGTGATAACATTCTTTGGATAAGAAAAAATGGAAGAAGCAGGAACTCATAAATTAGATTTTGGACACATGGAATATAAACCGCTTTTGAGATATGGAAGTGTTGGTCAGGCCACTGGACACATGGAATTGGAGTTCTGAGGAAAAACAGCCAAATATCTAACCTGAGCAGTTTTTAGTATATGTATTAGTTTTTAGTATATGTATTAGAGTTTCCAGAAAAACAGAATCAATAGGAGATGCTAGAATGTAGATAGAGAGGATAGATATGTAGTTATAGATGTAAGCCAACATTTGTTACGAGACTTGGCTTACATGATTATAGAGACTCAGAAGAAGACCCTACTACATGCTGTCTGCAAGCTGAACAACCAGGAGAGCTGGTGGTGTAATTTAATGAGGCCAAAGGCCTGAGGAACATAGGGCTGCTAGTATTGGTCCTAGGGTTCAGAGGCTCAAGAACCAGGATCTCCAACATCTGAGGCCAAGAAAAAATGGATGTCTCAGCTCAGGGAGAGAGAGTAAGTTTGTCTTTCCTCTACCTTTTTGTTCTCTTCAGACCTTTAACAGCTTACATGAGGCCCCCACACACTGATCAGGGCAATTTTCTTTACTTGGTCTACTGATTCAAATGCTACTCTCTTCCAGAAACGTCTCACAGAAATAATGTTTTACCAGAATCTGCTCATCTCTTAATCTAGTCAATGACAGAAAATAAATCATCTCAGTATATGATGTATTGGGAGTAGGCTGTAACAGGGGGTTAGGATCTAGTCTCAAAGAAATCGAACAATAAAACTTCAAATAAAATGGTATTTTTTAAAAGACAAAACCTCAAAAGTGAAATAATATTGCCATTAATAAACAAATTTTAAGAATTCCTTGAAGCCAGAAAGCAGATAGTGTTGGAAATTCTGAGAACTAGAAAAGGAACAAGGATAAGTGTGCTTTTTTTTTTTTTTCAGAGGGAGCCCTGTAGAATCTCTAAGCTAATTCAACATATACAAAGAGGAGGCCTGGATCATATGCTACCAGCTGCCAAAATCACCAAGAAATTCAGGAACTTCCTGAAGACATGATGGTCTTTTTCGACTGTCATTTTCGCCCATAGAATAAAGCAGTAATAACCTGAAGAAAACTTGAGGAAGGACTCTAGAAAAAGTATTAGAGTTACCAAAGCAGATGACAAGGCGTAACCAGCAGGCATGATGGAAGCTCCACCAAGAGTAAAATACATTAAAGTATTTCTTTCCCAGAATAACCTCTGTTAGAGTGGTAGCAATGTTTGGAAGTGTGATCCCCTAGGATGTTGTTTACACAGTTGAGCTGCAGAGGACCCTCTTACATAGAACCTATGAGAGTAGGTTGTCAGTGAAACAAACTTACACAATTTCAGAGAACCCTGAAGTACCAGCTGTTTAACCAATATATTTCTTTATTTATAAATATGAACAGACAACCCAGAATCTCTAAGAACTTAAGGAAAGTCAGCAGCATGAAAAAGAAAAGGACAAAGATGAGCAAAGAGAATAACACACACCAGAATAAATGCATAATTTAGGGAATAAAAGGAATTTTTTAAAAAGATTTGCATCCATAAAACAATAAGAAAGGAAGTATGAAGAAAGATAAAGAGGATAAGAACGAATTATTAGAAATTGAAACTATGATTAAGAAAAATTACCAGTTAACAGGTTGAAAAGTAAAGTAGATATAGCTGAAGATAAATTTGTTATTTTGGATGTGACATTGAGGAAATATCCCTGAACATTCAGCAGTAAGATAAAAGGATAAAAAATAAGAGAAAATGTTTGCAATATGAATTAAGAGGCCTAATACCTGACTAATAAGAATTTCAGAAGGAGTAAATAGGAAAACAAATTGCTTTAAATAGTAGAACATGTTTTCTATCAGAAGAAAGATACAGTCTTTTGATTGAATGGTTCTTCATATGCTGTGAAAGATGAATTTAAAAGTTGCTCATGTCTACTCACATCCTGGTGAAATTTCAGGTAAAAATAAGGAAAAACTTTAAAATTCTTTAAAAAAATGTTATCTACAAAGAAGTGAGAATCAGACTTATCAGTGGAAGCTGGAAGCCAAGAGAGGAATGTCTCCAAATGTGATGGAAAATTATTATGAATCTAGAATTCAAACAATTGGCAAAGTTTGAAGGCAAAATAAAGATATTTTCCAGTATAAAAATAACTCAGAAATTCTGTTTACAAACATGAGTGCATGTGTGGAAGAAAAAGAAAAGTAATTCAAGCTGATAGTTCAGCATAATGTAAAATGAAGAACAAACATGGAATAGCATCTGAGAAACATTAGTAGCTGAGTAAGATCTGGGAGGTGGAGGAAGAAGCCATTGAGAAAGTAAAAGAACATGGAAAGTTTGTTGTTAAAGTTTTGGTAATATAGGATTATACTTCGTCTATTATGTAGTCCAATAAGCCATTAGATTCTTCCAGGCATACTATTTATGTAATCATAATGTTGTAATGCCACTTACTGGTTTTCTGTGCTTAGAAATAATATACAGACAAATTCTGACAAATTTAATTGTTTTACAAAACAATTTAAAAATATTCTTATTCTTCACATTGCACAAGAATCTTATAATCTGAAATTATTAGAACAGAGAGTAGAGATAAAAAGGAGTATGATAATTTCCTTACCTTTCATAAAGATTGATAAACCCATTTATGAAAATTCTAGTGAACTATTTAGAGGCTAACTTAAAATGAAAAACTAAAAACAGAAACTGTCATAAGTGGTTGCTACTGAGAAATAAGACGGGTACTATGTGATGGGTAAGGGAAATCTTGTGCTTATTTAATATGAGTTTCTATTTTTTAAATTTATTTTATACATCACTGTACATCACTACAGTTTGTAAAATGAATTTACCCAACAGGAATGCACTTCACTATTTTTTTAATCAAAATGAACATTGTCTATTCTTTCTAGTAGCTTTTAAGCTTTTCTCTTCATCTTTTATGCTATACACTTAGACTGCCTTGTATTAATGAATAGATACTTGTATTTCTTTTGCTGGAAACACTGCTTTTTAAATCCTGAGGATAATTGTCTCCAATTCTGAACAATTCTATGCTGTTATTGCATTATATTTGATTCCTCCCTAGTCTCACTATTTTCTTCTATTAGAATATTCAAGTATGTTTGAATTTCTTATTCATGTCCCTCCCCCATGTATTTTAACTTCTCTTTTTTATTATTTTATTTTTTTTTTCCCTCTAAACGTCATATGTACTTGTTGAAAGAGATGAGGGAGAGAGAGAGAGAACCATAAATCACACTCCATGGGTCATGGTCATGCCACAATCCCTTCTGTTCCATTGCTACCTCCTTTCAGGATTTGGCCATACACACATATGCACCTAGCATCTCTTTTAAGCCATAGGGTCTGAGACAAATTTCACAGTAGGTTATGTGGGATCCAGTTGCCGTGGTCACAGGACAGGAACCAGTCTCATTGATTTCTTTCTTTCTTTGTGATGTAATTTGAGTGATTTCCACAACTCTGTCTTCAATTTTTATAACCCTACCCTCAGTTGAGTTTTCTTTCTTTAATGACTGTAGGTTTTGTTTTAAAAATTCCGTTTCTAGCTGTTTTCAAAAGTAACCTGTTCTTCTTGTTCTACAAATCCTAGTTTCTTATTTTGAATCTTTTACTACTTGTAATTATATTAATTTAAAAGTTCTTGTTTTTCTTCTATAATCAAGATTTATTGGTTGTGTCAAGGATCAGTACAGACATTTCAATTTGTACTCAATTCTTAGCATACATACCAAAAATTTAAAAAGCCAAGTATATTGATTCTTTTTAAGTTAGTCCAGTGACATTCCAGCTTCAAATTTGTAGGTAAATTTTCCTTAAGAGGATATCAAGAACCACTGTCTTCTGATGTTGAAAGCTGTTATGTAAGTCCCACCAAATCACAATTTAGTAGTATCATACACACTACATACTTCAAGTTTCCAATCTTTCACAGCACATTAACAAAATTATTAGGAAAACTGGGCTACCACCACCAAAGATGTTACAGAGTGCACACAATTCTGACAGGGAGAGTTACAATCAAAGAGTGGTTTTCTTTAGGAAACAATACTACTAAAAAATATAATAGAAGTTAATTTAAAATACTCAAGACACATTAAATGCATGACTGTGACTCCAAACTGCCATTTAGTATGCTTTGTATTTAGGATATAAAAACTACCCACCGGCCACCACCTATGAATGTTAAGCTGGCACACAAGAGAGTCAAAGCCTCCTGTAAGTCAATATCCCACTATTTTCTGGTTGTATTAAAAAATAAACAACCCGTAAATGATTTCGCTCCTTAAAAGAAAGCATTTACACTTAAAAAAATGGATGAGGTGGGATTCTCTCCTTAAAAATGTTTCAAGAGCTACTAAAACACTTGCATTTACAAAATAGTTGATAAAAATATTCCTCTGGGTTGTACAAGAAGGAAGACAGAGATCATTGATAAGACGTGATATATGACATTACTCAGATTTGGCTAATTTCTTGCCTGCCTCATCAGAGGGTGGACTCTCCTCATTTTTAGTTTCTCCATTTTCTGCAGGTAAATCTTCCTTAGTGTCTTGGTTGGCCACTACAACCTGTTTCCCCTTTGCTTCCCTTTTCCCTTTTGTTTGCACTCTTTTGCCTAAAGATTTATCCTTCCCTGCTGGCTTTTTTGGTTTCGTCTACACTTTTACAGGAGCAGGTTTAGCCAAAAATCTCCCAATCTCCTCCTGGGCTCTTCCTTGGCCGCCCCCTCAGAGTGCGTGCTGGGTGCCCGATTAGGCCATGGTGCACCTAGAGCTTTTGCGGAGTTGAGAGGATCTTAAAAGTCCTTTTTAAATTGTGTGGTTATTTGTATTTCCTCAATTGTAAATCTTACCATTTCTGGTGCCTATAGACACATACAAGTGAATTCCAGTGTGTGTTTTATAACTTTTATAATTTGGGGTTGTAATCTGAAGTACGAGTTGCTTTCCATAGGTGTACTGCCATGTTACTGGATCATAGAAATATTCCCATGTGGTAGTTTTGTGTTAGGGGATTTGTGGAGTTCATGAATTCTAGAGAATTTTTTACATTAGTTTTTTTTTTAATTATCTTAGAATTTCCCCATCAATATATAGTGAAATTTTCAGAACCACATTTTCAAGCATGAAAATGTTTCTCCCAATATAATGGTTCAACAATAATTGAAGGAATCTAATAGTAAAAATTTCAGGAGAAATTCTTTCAACAACATACAGTGGATTCATGACATTTTTAAAAAACATAATGCCAGTCCACACTTTTTCATTTTACAATTGGAAAAAGTGAGATCCAAAAAATGTGAATGACTTGTGCTGAGATCTAGTGAATTAAAGGCAGAGCAGAGCATGAAAGCTGGATATCTTTGCTGCTGAAATCCATTTTCATTTGATATACATGGTGACTGATGCTGACTCAAAGGTAAATCTATGTTCCCCTTGTTATTTTTCTCAACTTGGGCTTCAGGATCCAAGTACATAGAAAGTGACTTTCTAAGCTTGATCCTATCCTGTGCTGTGTAAATACATACACACACACAGACAGACACATGCATACACACACGGACACACACGTGTATATATATATATATATATATATGTGTGTGTGTGTGTGTGTATATATATATATTTTTTTTTTTTAAAGAACAAGAAAATCTTTATTTCCAACAGGTTTGGTGGTAGGTGTGCTACAGCAAAGGTTGGATATAGCAGTTTCATTTCAACCTGCACTGATGTATAAATTAGACATTTGGGAATGCTTATTATGCCAACTTTTACATTTATTATAGATTTTATTTTAGCATTAGCGATTAAATTTTCATCACCAGAAAATGGGAATAACCTTACAGCTACCTAAGTTGTGGGTGATCCTGTGCTGCATATCATCAATCATTTTGGTGGTGTTTATTTTTATGGATAAATAAATTGAAACATGTAATCTTCTTTCTAGTTATTGCTGGTAGAGACATTGGTAGATTTTGCCTTGGAAGATCTTCCTTTTTCAATAATTTGCTTTTGTTTTCCATTTAAAAAATCATATAATACCGTAACATTTAAAACTGTATTGAAACTTAAATTCTTTAAAATTGTATAATGTAAAACTGCATTCTTTTTCTTCCCATATAACTAGCAAAGCCCCAGCCATGTTCATTCTACATTGATAATCGATAAATATCTGCTGGTTTAGCAGTTATTAATAATTTTCCTTCATTTGTTCCATTCTTTTCCTTTTTTCTATTATATAAAAGAACCTTTTAGAACACCCTAATGTAAAGATTTCCGGAGTTTACTTCCTTTCCATGCTTTACAGAGACACTTCACAAGGTAGTTAATTCATATTCATTTATCTCATTTAAAGAAAATGATAATGATTTATTTGGTGTTCCGTTTGCAGAACGGAGTGTTCTGAACATCAATACAGAGTGGAAGAGCCTTAAGCTGAAGGTACAGTATATTATTTACACTGAAGGAGCTTGTGTGTGGACAAGAAAGCGCTGACAACTCAAATGGATCCCATGGAACTGAGAAATGTCAACATTGAGCCTGATGATGAGAGCAGCAGTGGAGAAAGTGTTCAAGATAGCTACACCGGAATGGGAAATTCAGAGAAGGCAGCCATGAGCAGGTACGGGGGGAAAAACACCAGGTTCCGTGGAAAAACAAGACAGGTTCATAGTCCCGGGAAACGAAAGAGTGGTTGGGAAGAATTGCATTTATTACAGGTAAATTTGAGATTATACTGACATTGATGTTAATACATTAATTCTTTAATCCTGAGATATAGTAATAACATTAATCCTGTGTGTGACTAGATTAGATTTGAGGTTACAGTATCTTGTCCTATTAATAGTGTAGTATTATTATTTTTTTAGAGAGAGATTTTTGCTATAGGACAAAGGTGCTCACTGAAGATACAAAGAGAGACAGAAAATGAGAGATTACCCCTGAGCGGAGATGACCATGCTGCAATCCCTTCTCCTCCATTGTTCTCTTGGGATTTGGGGCACACATGCTCATGTGCCCTGAGTGAGTCTCAAGTCACCAGGTCTGGGACTTGAAACACAGTCGGCCACGTGGCAGTCCAGCTACATAACCATTATGCCATCTGCTGGTCCTGGGTAAACTTAATTTTATTAGCCTATCTCTCCTCTTACCTTTTGGCCTATTCTTTTCAGATTCCTTTTCCTTTGCCTGCCCTTTGAATGTTGTCACATCTTCAGGGTTCCGTAGGGATTCTTTACTTTCTAAAAGTGTTCTCCAGGAAAGCTCATTCACAGTGATCATGGCTTCACTCATTAAAAATATGCTGCATCCTCAGCCTGTTAAATTTTTCAATTTTAGATCGTTATATTCCATTGTCTGTGACAAATCTCCACTGGAAAACTAATGTGTCTGAACTATCTCGTTTTTAAAACCAAACTCATAATGTTTAATAGTAAACACTTATCATTCCCTTCAAAACTTGTTTCTCCTCTAGCAATCCTCATCTTACTATCATTCATCAACTCAGTCAGAAGAACTGGGTGCCAACATTACTCA